TTTTTTTTTTTTTTGCTAAAAGGTACATTCATTGATATTTATTAGCCAAGTAGCCGGAAATTTTTCTTATTATTAAAATGACTCATTATTAGCAGTTATTTGAGGTATCTCAGCTATAAAACAAATGCAAACTGCGATGTTCATTGTTTTTTTTGTTGTCATTGACCTTTTTCCTGTCTTTATTTATATTGCGCTCAAAAGTGATTTGAGTCAAAACCAAATAATGATTTAAAAATATTTTCAGCCATAAAAAATTGTTCTTTCTTTATTAATTTGTTATAAATGAGTGGACAATAATAAACATTTCCAAATCTATTTTAATCTTTTAGAGGTTATTGATAATCTACGGTGTTTTTTCTTCATTTTGAGTAAAATGAAACTATGCTGTCAAGTCGGCTGATCTTCCAAAACAAAAAAGATTCTATTTTTTTTCAGTTTTTCGTTATTCAAATAAACATTCACATAAGCTGTTTGATAATGCTTTTTTTTTTTGCTTTTTTAAAATGAAATTGTGGTTACGGAATGCATATCAGATCCGAAAAAAGACATCTTAAAACAGTGAGCTCATTCTAGCAAAAGTGTAGGTGAAATCCTTTCTCTCCTGCACTCAAAAAACTAGTGTCTAACAAGTCCTTAATGCTTACTAAAGAAAGAAAACTCTTCAGCTTTTAGCTCTACAGTTTAACAGTTCTAGATTACCTAAAGATCTACACTTGTTTGAATTAAATCTACATCACTCAGCTAAAAATTTGATTAAATTTCTCATCAGACATTGCCATAGTTGGTATTTATTCACAGGTTTAAAGCTGATTCTTCTTTTCAACTTCTCATTTGCAACCACTTACGTCAATACCATAATTCTGGCTTAACGATGACCAATTCTAACAATAAAACTTCGATTTGTTAAACTAACTTGTGATATAGTGACGAAGAAAAATTAACTAAAAAAAGCAAAATTTAGTGTTATAGTTATTATTAACCTTTTTTTTAGGATGATATTTTGGGACTTCAATGTACCAGTAATTAGTCTTATTGTATTACAACTACAGTTCATTTCGTTGGCAAAGTGTTGCAGTTTTGGGCTAACTCAACTGCGATATTCATCGCTAGCATTAATGTATTGTGATCCACCGAAAAAAGTAAAAGAAATATTCTGCAAAAACTAATATATTTAATTTAAGATAAAACTAAAAAATTTTTATAAAAAAAACCACAATGCACATTGTTTAAGGATGAACCAGATCCATGTCAGGCAGTTGTGGGTGTTGGAGAAGCATTTTGTCAGTTGGATGGTCAGGATGGTAAATATGTTTGCTGTGGTAGCCCAAGTTTGTTGGTTAACCTTTTATCGTCACGATGGAAACAACTGCCACCTATTTTGGTATCAAGAAAGATTTGTTAGCAAAAGATGTTTGTCTGTCAGCAAAAATAAGTCTTTTTTGGTTCCCAAGTGCAACTTACGTTATATATTTTTCCTTCAGTTTAATGCAAGCATTTTCAATGCAAAAACAGTTTAGGTAAAACAAAAAATTTGGAACAAATTTTCGAGTGCAATAGCCGAAAATTCAGTAAAGACAACCTCTGGACTGCTACAATCGCCAAAACTCAACGAGACACTTATGCAAAAGCTTTGGCTATCTACAGCAAACTACGGTTTCATTGATAATATATTATTTTATTTAGTTATTAGAAGCTTTATATCAGTTTAACATTTTTAAAATAGTTTTTAACAGTTTCTTGAATTGTCACCTCAGTTTACCGCATTTTGTAGAAAATTTGGTTCATGAAGCATTAGTCACTGTTCAAAAAAAAAAAAGACTTCCCAATACCGTTAAAAGTTTCCTTTAATATGTAATTAGCGAAATACGACATATTATTTTTATAATAGTTTTATTTGAAGATCTTCTGTTTTTGGAAGCTCTGATAACTACATTAAAGAAAAATGCCCTGAAACGGTGCCCAATTATCACCCTGAATTCCATTAGTTCATCAACTTCTTCACTTTACCTTTTTTCCACTGCTCTCTGAACCTCTTATTTTATTCTAAATTTTGGAATTTATAAACTACCTAGTTGAAAGCATTATTTTTTATGACTTCACTAATTAATTATATATATGTACATATGCACAACTTGTTCATGCATGAGAGAAACAACTAGATTTCTAACTGTGCTCAAAAATTCTTAGGAGCTTCCAGTGATCCAGATCCAAAACTGTATCCAATCCAACAAAGTATGAAAGTTGTTAGCCCGAACACTTCGACCGGTCGCTCAGCGGTTTTTTCAAACACTACAACGGCAGTGCCAACCAAATCTTTTGCTTATACAGAGAAAAACCAAGCAGATTTGTCAGCATCTGCGCTATTACCGTCACATTTTATTAACACAGATCTGAATACAACGCAGTTAACAGATCTTGACTTTTCGCCTAGATCGCTAAATGAAACTGATGATCAGCCGTTGAATTACACTCTATTCTTAGGACCTGTGTTAACCCCATTTTTAGCCAGTTATTTCAC